TATTTAAACTTTTTTTCAATTGAAAATACAAATAAAATATCTAAACAAATTGAAAATAGAAAGTCTTACAAATTAATAGGGACACTCGCGGTTTGGCGGTTCGATTACGGTGAAAGAAATCTCAAATCCGTAATCCGTCCAAAACTAGGCGGATTGAAAAAAATCAATCTGTAACCGTCCGCTCATCATCACGCATTTGTCCAAAATGCGGCAGATCGGTTCGGTTCGGTTGGTTTAGGCGAATCGAACCATCCGCTGAACACCCCTATATGAATGGGTTGGAATAGCTAATCCATTCATATAAAATTGATAGCCAAATTATCATTTTGTCCTATACTTTGCCTTTGTTTGGCAAAAGTCAAAATGAGCCTTTTTTGCTATAATAGTCACAAAAAGACAAAATAAACTTTTTAGCCCAACATATAAAAATGTCAAATCCAAATCAAAATCATTTTATTTTTTCTCTCATAAAAGTCAAAAAAGCAAAAAAACTAACCCAAACGAGACTTTTTAACCCTAGACTAAAATAGCCAAAAAAATCAAAAAGACAATCCACATCCCAAACAAACCCTTTACAAAATTAACAAAATTGTATTATATATGACGAGGGTTTTTAGATAATTTTATAAATGGGTGGTAATAGAGAGTTCTAAGGGTGTGTTTGATTGGACGCACTGGACAAGGGGGGATTAGAATCTATTGGACTTGAATCTTGGGACTGTGAATCCCTCAGAGTATTTGGTTGAATTGGATATGTATCCTGTGTTTGTTTTTCATAGGATTAGATGTTTGGAAATGACTATTTTTAGTGAATCCAATATATGGTTGGACGGACTGAATAATGATAAATGTTCAAAAGACTATTTTACCCTTGTAATTTATAATTTATATTTTTTATTTAATATATAATTTTAAATTAACAACACTAAAAAAATAATTTTATTTAATACATAAATTTAATTTTTTAACAACACTAAAAAAAATTAATTTATAAGACCATAATTTTTAATTAAATTAAATTTATAATTTATAATTTAATATATAATTTTAAATTCACAACACTAAAAAAATTATAAGGCCATAATTTATTATTTTTAATTTAATTTAATTTATAATTTATAATTTATATTTTTTGTTTAATATATAATTTTAAATTAACAACACAAAAAAATAATTTATAAATGTTCAAAAGACTATTTTACCCCTTTTCAATTGTTTATTAAGTAAGAGCATGAGGGTAAAATGAACATTTCACACATTAATTCCATGGGATACCAATCCCATGGAAATAATCCCACCCCCCCTAGGATATAATAATCCCTCATATGAGGGATTAATAGTCCGCAGAAACTATTAATCCAGAATAAAAAAATTGAACCAAACAACGGACTATTAGTCCGGATAGACTAATAGTCTAATCCCATAAAATAATCCCCTCAAAACAAACACACTCTAAGTTCCATCATCTAAAATTATATTCATCTGCTTTTAAATATATGACAAGAAAATTGGGAAACAAATTGGGGAAAATAAATTAGAGCTAGGGAACGAGGAAATAAATTATAAACACATCTAAAATGATATTTGAAACTAAATTTTTGCATCTGCTACACTGTCCTCGTAAATATAATTATATCCATCTATTTTGTGCGTCGGTATTTTTTTGCCAATCACAAAAACAAGAATTTTGCCATCACTTATTTGTGTTTGATGTTTTCTGTTGCAAAAAAGAAAAAAGAAAAAAAAGGACACAAAAATGCATTTTTTTAAGAATATTTTTAGAAAAACAAAGAGAACTCCAAAACCAAAAAAATAAAAATAAAAATCTACAATTTTTTTGTTAAAATATCTATTTATCTATCTATAATAAACAAACATAGAGAAACTAATCTTTAAGTTCAAGAACAATTAAAACATGCTTAAATGGTTATCAACAGACAATGGACAACCAGAAAAAGGTTACATGAATCAAATAATTCAAGAAACTGATCACTAGCTTGGAATTTTGGCAATATAGATGGAGGGAGGAAACACCTAAGAAGTTTCTCAATTCTTTTGTAGTAATCATCCATTTCGAAGAAATTGAAATCTGGCAAAATCTAAAAACGGGTGATTGCTAATTAATTTTTTGAAAAATTACAACAACAACAAAAAAAGAGCATAAAGTTTGAATCTTGTAAGAAATAAATCTTGAATATTCAATTTTATCAATTTAAAATCTAATTTTTTGATTTGTTTTCGATCTAAATCATTCGTCAATTTTTGTTAAGTAAAATTGTCATAAAAGTGTATTTTAATTATTAAACTCAATGAAAACTAATACTTTAGACATTTTCCATACACATACATTCAGTGAGGGAGACAAGATTTTGATTCATAGGGGGCACCATTAATCTTTAGCGATATCAATTACAAAACTTAACCAAATCCAATTTTCATTTGATGATAGAATGACCAAAGATCAATGTGATGTCAAAATTATGTGCCTTAAAGCATCTTCAACGTTTAACTTTCTTTTTTCATCAAATTTGAGTAAAAGTTTCATTTGATATCACACATTCCAATGGAGTGCGGTGGAATTTCTTTAAACCATCGATCGACCGGGAGGATGACCGGGGGATGTTTAGACGATCAACCAACTAGTGTAATTTTTTCACATATTTTTGTAAGGAGATGGTTGTCCAGAGGGACAACCGGTTGAACGTTCGGTCGATCGCTCGGTGTCTGCAACTCCAACGGCTATGAACAGTGAATTGATGAAAGCCACAATCCATTCTCAATTTGATAAAAGATTGAAGATATTCTGGATTTGATACCTTTTTGGTGAAAGGATTGGAGCAGCAAAATGCTTCTCTTTTCATTAAATTTGAATTTAATGAAACAAAAGGTGCAGCATTGGAGATGGTCTTAGATATGTTTTAATTAACCGATGCTTCTTTTATTTGCTGTTTTAGTTGATGATAATTACAGTTTAAAATGTAATAACATGCATACAAAAAGAAAAAAAGAAGATAGATATGGAGAAAAACAAGAGAGAAATGAGAGAGATATAAATAATTATAAGAGAATATTTTTTCTAATGGTAAATTATAAGGAATTTATTAAAAAGAAAGAGAGAAAAAAAAGAGCTATAAATATTTTGAAACATATTTAAAAATTAAAAGGGAGTTAAATTGAAAACTTTTTCTAATTAGAGGTAAAAGTGTAATTCTCAAAAAATGAGGGGGCATGTCTCTATGTAGCGCCGTCCCTGGGAACAAATATGCTACAAGTTAATGTAATGAAATGGTGAAAAATATTTTATCTCTAAATTACTTTGTTCTAATGAACTCTCAATCATTAAATTATGTGAGATGGATGATCTAATAATTGAAAGCAGGGCAAATTATATTGATAATCCATATATTTTGGTCATTGTTTTGGTCCTTATAATTCTAATTGGTTCGATTTTTATCATGAATTTATATTTTCTCTCAATTTGATCAAGTTAATTTTAACGGTTAGCATCTTCTTGTGAAAAATACACAAATAAGCAATATCTGTCATACTTTTAGGAGCAAAATCACAAATTTGCTCAACTTAATGAGTTAGCCTCAACCAACTTTTTATTATTATTTTTTTTTTTTTTTGATGAGTAGAAAATCTATTAAGGTAAGCCAAACGGCATTTACAGAAGAGTCCATTTAACAAAAACACTTAAACCAAACAAAGTAAAAATATTACAAGAAACAAAATGATAAAAACTATGAAAATATCTAGATGCACAGCTCGTGCTTGTGCTCATACTGCGAAGCAGAGCTGGTCATAAGAGATCGGGCATAAAGCATGTATGAGATAAATTATAGATTACAACCACAGAGAGGATAAGCTTTAAATCACCACCAATGGACTTTGAGTTACACAATTAGACAACTAACAACAAAGGTACAGAAACAGAAAAGAATAAAACCTCAATCCCAAGCCAAGGCAGTGGAATGGTGGCGGCAGATCCAACGGCCGGAGGCCAGAAGAGAAAGATCATTTTCCGCCAACAACCTTAATGACTTTATCAATTGATATAAAATTTAAAATTAAAGATCAAAATTGAGTCAATTAAAAATATAAAAACCAAAATAACATAAGGGACAAAATTTAGGCATTACTGATGTAAAATATATTCTAAATATATTAAAACAGAGAGAAAGAAATTTGGACATAGAAATTGTTTAAATTTTGTTATTGCTGCATTACTATGTCAATCCTATGAAGTTGGTGGAAATTCTTAGTGGCTTTTGCCAAAAAAGGCCATTAAACATAAAAAATAGCACATTACCACTATCCTCTGTTTGTCAGCAGAGGATTTGTATGGATGTTTTCTTGTATTGTATTTTTATTGTAAAGTTGAAATTTGGCTATTAATATAAGTTGGTACAATAGATATGCCAAGCCATTGAAATAAACACAAACTTTCACTAGATCCAATTCATTACTGTCAACTAAATTAGGTGATAGCTATTTGTGTTTAAATAAAATTTGAGGCAAATAGAGGACAAATATTTGTTATTTATATTTTTAAAGGAAAATGACTGAGGCCTCCAGCACCCCCACTGTTTTTTCATTGGTTGGAAATTTTTTTTTTCATTGCTTGGAATTTTTTTTTTTAATTTTTTTTTCAAGTCTTGCTCTCACAGGCGGCCATGTAGCACTGGGGTGCTGAGGTCACTCCCACCGGGGGTCGGTCCCAGCACGGTTGATTTTTAAAATCACATCTACTGCTATTGTTAATAGAAATTGTTTGTCATTGTTTTTCTTGTAAAACTCAATCAAAATAATGTGACAATCACATTTTTAAATATATAAGCCACAATGCTAAATATTTTAGTATAAAATGATAGGATTCCAATGTCAATTGATTTAATTTTTTCAAAATAGCAATAATGTTGTCCTACAAATTTTCTACCCTATCAGACATATTTTATAGTGGATTACACACACCCATGAAGAAGAACTAGTTCATCATCCTAATAACAAACTGACAGTGACAATGGCCTATCGACTTCCTGCAATTCCTCAGTCTCCAATGGCATGTTACTCCAATCATATGAAACGCAAGAAGAACCGTGTTCATCATCATCCACAGCATTGTATTCGTATGACAACAACGAGCAAACACTAATTGCCTCTTCATCCACCTTTGGTTTCTTGACCCTCAAGTTCCAATCATCAGACTCGTAATCTGACAATGACAATGACGACGATGTCGAGCAATTGTTCTCCTCGGAATCCTCCACTGATAATTCTTCCTCATCGTCTTCGCTATCCTCGCCCAATCCAGCCGCAAAAGGGTGATTCAAGAGCATCTGAGTAGTCAATCTATCCATAGCTTTTCCAGCAAAACAACCCTTCAAAAAGTCCATTGCTTCCTCTGATACCTCACTCTGATTGGGTAGTTTGAGCAGTCCATGCCCTTTACCAATCTCAGAGAGAATGTCCTCAACTTCTGAATCTTGTTTTCCATCCCACACAGACTTCCCAGCTAACATCTCAAACACAATCATCCCAAGAGCCCAGACATCAGATGGAGACTCTTGTTGTAGCCCTTTATCAACCACCGTCTCTGGCGACGAATACCCGAGACTTCCTCTCAATTTACAAGACTTTGACATCGTCATCATCTTCCTCATCTGTTTTGCTCTCTTTGCCAACCCAAAATCACCAATCTTTGCAACATATTCAGTGCCAGTGCCAGTAATGATAGGAACAATTATGATATTCTCAGGCTTTAGAGCACGGTGAACATACCCACAGCTATGAACACAATCAAGACCTTCAAGAATATGCCTTGTATAGCGCCTAACATCAGATTCAGGCAATCCTTCGCCGCCACTTTTCTTAATCAAATCAGCTAGGGTTCCGCCAGAGCCATACTCCAAGAGAAGGTTATAAATGATGCGATTGCGATCACCGGTCATAATCTCTTCCCCAAAGCACCGATAGATATAGGGACAATCATGGAGGTTGCTAAGAACAATTGCTTCCCTCTGAAGCAAAGCCGAATGAGAAACCTCTGCGGACTTCACAGCCATTAGTACAGGCAAGTGGGTGAGTCTCCATTTGGGTTTCTTCAAAGTCGCCAAATAAACCGGTCCGCTGCTTGATTTTCCGATGATGGACCCTCTGAACCACTTGTTTCCATCGCCATAGACACTTTTCTTGATTTTGAACTCCTCGTGCTTCCTCTTCATCGATACCATCTTCACATGATTGTTTGTTGTTTGTGTTCATGAAAAAATATTGATGTGAATGTTTCTTAAAGCTATGTATGTATTTATAGGACTCTGTCTTAGGGTTTTAGGAAATTGTAGAGTTTTAGATAGTGTAAGATTTTGTTTCCAATTTGGAATAGGTTTTAAGTCTGTAAACTAGGGGAGAGTGAGTGACGGACACACAAGCCAGCTGTTATGTGACTTGACGTTGAAGTATATCTTACAAAATGGGTTTTTGTTGGGTCGGTGGGTTTGGGTCTTGGGGTGACTTGAAATCCATTTTTGAGCTTGGATAATTGTATATGTTTCCTAAACTCATACTGGTTTGTTTTTCTAAAGCTAGTTTTGGAAAGAAAAAAAAATAAATTAGAACATATAGAAACTAATTTGATAAAAATAAGCATTAAACAGATTTTTTTTTTAAAAAATTAAAATTTATTTTTGCCTAAAAACATAAAGAAAAATCAATCCCCACAAATTTCTGACCAGTAAGAAATTTTCAGTCTATAGCGGTGATTTTTTTGTAGCAGCGATTTTTTATCAAAGAAAGTTAGTTGTGAATTATTAAATTAGCACCTATAAGAGATAGCCTCCCTATCCTATGTAAAGTGTCAAGTATTTGCCTTTTTAATTCAACTCTCTTAGGGAGAGGTAAACCCATAACTTCCCTCTAAGGACTAAACCCTCTAATTGGTTCTATAGCAGTGAATTCTTTCTAGTAAGAAATTGTTATGGAGTCCTTTTGCATGAGAAATTTATAGAGATGTAGCATTGCTAAAAAATTTAAATTATATAAAAATAATAAGTGTTTTTAATTTTTAGTTTTTATTTTTTATATAAAATCTAAAAGATAGATTTTGAAAACCAAACCAAATAAAATAATTTCCATAGGACTAATGTTATCAACATTATTACAATTATCGAAAATCTAGATCACCAAAATAATCAATCACATTATGCAAATAAAAGTGAGAGGGCAAAATTTTCAATGATTCAAATTTTCCATGTGCACATTTTTTCGTAATGTTGTACAGGATTTCTCATCAATTTATTACTACTAAAGACAAATGTAGTGGAACCTAAATATTATTTATTTTTAAAATTTTTGAACCCAAATATGTATATTTATTAATGTGAGCCTTCATATTTGTCTAGTGTAGTAAGAAAATATGATTAAAATTTTATTTATATATAGTATTTTCTTTTTATATAGAATTAATATGTGAATAAGATATTGTTGGTGCTAAATTTTGGAAATTTTCCGTTGTCAATAGGTTGTTGACGTGACAAGTTAGTTGTTGAGGGATTCTTTTTAAAGGATAAGGAAGATGGCAGCAGAAAATTAAGAGAGAAATCAAAATCAAAGGAACAGACGGGGATAGAAATGCAGAAAGGCAGAAAATCAAGGAAGATCAGAGCTGAAAGCTAACCAAATCAATTATAAAAGAGAGCTGGGTGCAGTGAGGACGGAATTTCATCAACAACCATTCACAAAACGTAACATTTATTCAGGAGTGGAGTAATTTAATAGTTGTTAGGAGTATATTAAAGTGTTAGCTTTTCCAATCCTATTTCTTTTGTTGATTGTTATATTTATTCAATTTTTTGTTCTTGCTCAAGTTCTTGTAATTGGTGGCAAGTGACAATTTATTCCAATTAATACATATTTTGTTCTGTTTTATTTCTTTTTTTATTTAATTACCTTCAAGAAAGTCCTTAATTTGTTTAAGGCATAAAACTTAACCACAAATTCTGATTTTTATTTATGTTTATTTAAAATTTATTTAAGTCTGCAATCACTATCGATTTGACTTAAACCAAATTTTTATCAACAAAAATAAATATCCCAACCAAAAAAATGAAGAAAATATAATTATTTACCAATTTTTGAACATAAATAATTTTTTTCACCAAATTTAATTTACATCTTCCATATATTTGTACACATACTCTGCGTGAATGTGTTGGACTCACTATATTTAAAAAGAGCAATGATACAGAACTCTAAAACTAAAAATGTTAGAGATTTTAAAATTTTTATCAAATATCACACATGAGTGTGGGATCCACATGAGACTCACATGATATAGGTCCCACACCTATGTGAGACATTTGATAAAAATTTTGATAAAACTTTTGGGGGCCTCTAACATTACTCCTCTAAAAATAAAGCTCTAAATTAAGCTCTAATGATATGGTAAGGAAAAGAAAAAGAAAACAAAACAAAAACAAAAGCACAAACATACACATCACTGTAGACGTCCCCGAACGTCCCGGGAGGGAAATCCCGTTTTGTTCATTTGGGCTCACTACAGTTCGGACTCAATGTCACGGTCCTGTGTCTAATCTCCCAAAGTGCAATGCAAGACCGATGAATCATCAAAGAATCCAAATCTGGCAAATCGTTTTTGGAAAACAGATTTTTTAGAAAAAAGTGCCAAACATGGACTGTTTTGCCAGATATAGAGTCGCCACCTAAATATTTATTTTGGGAGAATTTAGGAAACCCTAACTCGTTGCCTAAGGCCACATGTCCGTCATCACCAAAGTTGCCTCGGCTCGGGAACTTGGGTACTATTGGAGAAGATCAGCTATGAGCACCCCCGCTCACCCGATCAAAGATCAACATCTACTAACCATGATATCGAGTTTTGAAAACATTATATGCTCTTATTCCAGTTATTAGCCTAGATTTACTGCGTGATGCACACAGAATACAAGTATAGACTGGGTCGTCTAAGTTGGAACAAAACATCTCATGTTTGTTTTTGAAAGCGGTTTGCTATTTGCAAGTAGGCTAAAAATGCAGATTTTGCCACCCACGGGTAGGTTTAGAAAACACGGTTTTGCCACTTTCGAGTGGGCTTAAAACTCGCATTCAATGCATCGTTCCAATTCAAATATCCCAACCTTCACCCACAGGTACTCAGGCAGTTATATCACATAAGCACATAGCCTCATGGTAAAGCATGCTATCATGGCAACACTCACATGCATGCAAGGATGCTAAAACATGAAAACTTACCGAGTACTCCAAGCCAAAACAAAAACTAGTTAGTGAACATGCATGAATCCTAACTATGCTGAAATGCTTAATGCAACACGTGCAAAAATGCAACCTAAATGGGCTTGGCTATTCTAAACATGGCATATGAAATGCAACAAATAACATGTATTCAACTTGGAATTGAAATACCATGCAGTTAGTATGATGCGCCGAGCCCGGTGCATGCAGTACAGATGAATGAATGCATGCATGCATAGCATAAGGTATACTAATTTAAATATGTCCTAATACTAACCATTGAAAGCAAGTAAATAAAAGGGAGAAAGAAGTGGGGGTTGGAAGACATGCACACACTCACACACACTTATTACACAATTGCCCTCGCTCGGCGGGTCCAAAAGAATAATACAGGCCAAATAATGAATCAACTATCCTAGCTAGTTAATTATTACAAAAATTCTAATTAATTAACAAATTAATTACAAAAACAACCTAAATATGAAACTAAAGAAACCGTCGCAGCTCTGCCTCGGAATGCGTGGATGATGCATACTCGATTTGCCTTGCTCGGAAACCCGTTACCATGCCACTGTTGCCTCTGTTTGCACTGTTCTGCACCTCTGAGGAATGTGAAAATTCTTGAGGCACCTCTGAACCCTTTCTTGATCATTTTGGAATGCCACCGGCTAATGAAGAGCACCACCGACCATGTAAATGTGATCATTGACCATAAATTGGGTCACCGGCTGGACTCTGATGGTCGGTCGGCACTGAAAGTGGCCGGCCCACCATTTATTCCTGCAGAATCCTGTTTTTGCTGCAGCAGTGGACAGATAGTGCATGGAAAGGAAATTTCAAAGCAATGTATGCATGGCCACACTCCCCATCATGTTATGGACTCAAGGGAGTGCGGCCCTTGGTATTCGAGCCACCAGTCGCGCATTTCGATGCATGATAGCCAAAGGCACCAAGCTTGCAAATCAATGTAAATGCATGCAACAAAACAAATAAATGCCTCACGCCCTATCATGTTGAGATCAAGCGTATCAGCAACCGAGGATTGAGATGTGTTTCGTCACTTTGAGTACGAACACACCTCACTCCTCGTGTTTGGTTTGACACCCCAAACCAAACACAATGTTATGTATGTATGCTATATGCAATGCGAAGTAATGCAACTAATGCAATGCAATATGAGCATGCTAAGCTAATGCTTCATGACACTACCTAACCATGCAAGCCAAACTAATGCAATATGAACATGTCAAGCATACAACAAGACTATGTAATGCAACTAGACATGCAAACATGCAAACATGATGCAATGCAACCAATGTAATGCAACATGTCAATCATGCAATTTATATACAAGGATGGACTTAAACTGAAATGGGAGGCCTCAGCCATGCCCCAAAACAGTGGCCAAACATACTAAAAATGATGGACAAATGCTCATGCAAACACGCACACCAATGGGCCTAAAACTAAGGCATAAAAGGGAGCATTCCATTACAACTATCATGACCACATATGGCATGGATTATGCAACCAAAAACAGAGTTTTAGTGCATCAAAATACACCCCAAAATCCACATGAATGGCATCCCAAATGACTTAAACAAAAGGCATGCACTATGACCCATTTCAAGGCACAAAAGGACACTCTTCAAAGCATGAAAGGGATGATGAATGCAAGCATACAAGCATGGATTATGAACTGAATAGCATGGGAAATGACTCCAAGTCACTGAAACAACCCAACCACAGCACGCTTATGGCTCACACACTCAAGGCCTACAAGCTAGAATGCAAAGGGGCTATACAAAACATGGCAAACATGACTCTAAAGACCCAAGACAGACCTTAAACATGATGAAATAGGACTAAAAGCTTCATGGAGTCAAACCAAAATCATGCTAAAATGTCATCTCACAACATGATACATGTTAGGCCAAAACATGAGATTACAAGGCAAGCATAT